AAAGACAGACCTCACCTATGGAAGCTGTGTCTCCATTTATGTTACAGATACTGACTTGAGCATTTACAAACATAGACAAACTGTGCTGGACCCTTAGATACAGAGGGAAGCAGGAGGTCCTTCTCATCTCCACAGAGATCGCAATAAGTCTCCTTGGGAAGAAAAATGGGAAGCATCTTCCCTGAGAGGCTTAGCACAAAACAGAAGGAAGAGGAAACCTCTGTCAGCAAGAGCTTGGGTTCATGAGTCAGGACGACACCAGTATAAGCTCAAACTTAACTTTACTATAATAAGTCAGCAGCCCTCTGACTTATCTAGAAAGGGAAGGTGAAATAATTCCCTAGATGACTCCAAATATTAAAGTAAAAATTGAATATGCTGTGCAAATACAGAACCTAGCACTATGTACACCTCTTTCTGTGAACCATAGTAGTAGGGTAGAGGCTTAAGAGAGGCTTTCCCAGGAGGCTCTCTTTACATGGTGATAACTGGGCATATACAAATTTGTGAAGGGATAGAAGGGGCAAAAGGAAAAAGGTCACATGTGTGTTAGTTGATACATTGTGTCAACTTGGCTGAATCAGATCTGGCAGCGTGGGGGCTAGCCCTACAGGTGGGCAGGGCCCAAGAATTGAGAAAGTCAGGAAGCCGCCCTGCCTGGTTTCCTGCCGCCCCACCCCAATTCCGTGGAGAAGTTTCAGTCTTCGAAGGAGCTTGGTCTTCGTGGTCGCACCACTTTGGAGGAGCTCGGAACTTCACTGTGGAGCGCTGGTCTTCACAGCGCAGAAGGAAGAAAGAGGCTTGATGGACGCTGCTGCAGATGCTGCTCCTCCTCTGCTCTTCATTGTTTTCTGCTGCATGAACTGCTGTTGTTTGCCTTGGAGCCAGCGGAATATGGACTGAACCCTCCAGTAACTGTGAGCTAAATAAATCTTTCCTTCCTTCATTTTGTGTGTCAAGTATTTGTCCCAGCAACGAATAAAAAGTAACTAAGACAACATGTTTTACTCAAGGAAGTGAAAGGTGTCCAGTATAACAGGACAAGACAGGATGATAAAAGGGTAAAAAATGAGAGTTTGGAGGCAGAAAGGGGTCAGCATATGCAAGAGCCCTGGGCTAGCCTAAGAATTAAGGGTCTATGACATGGGATACCATTAAAATGTTTTAAACTACAGGGAGTAGTAGATTCAGACATTTCATTGAAAAAATTACATGCAGCATGTGGTGCCGGGGATTGAACCCCAGTCCCTGCTCTTGCCTAAGCAGGCACTTAGTCCACTGAGCTATCTCTACTTACTGTTGAGCCGAGGAAGGGGGCAGAGCAGAGCAGATAGATAAACAGTGATGTCTGCCAGTCTTCCATCATCTACAACTGACAGAGTGCTAATGAGTTCATGAATTGCCAAAGTTTCAAGAGTTGAGTTAAAGCGAGCTGCTTTGGGTGCATTGAACTCGTCTGACCCATAACACACAGATATGTATGGGGTGAACATACAAACTTGTGAGCCATTGACATGGAATGGTTAACTGTAAATACATAACTTTTATGAATAAATTTTGCTGTAAGGAAGAAACATGGATGAACTGAAGCTTCTAAAGAGCCCTTCAGTGCCTTCCTACAGGAGGAACTGGGTGAGGAGGAATGGAGAGTTATCTTCAACGTGGTGATAAAACAATCCCTCAGGGGGAAGCTAGGTTGCATGAAACCTTCCCATGTGCAAAAGTTTCATCTTTCTGTTGATGATAAGGCGTTTAAAACAATAATAAAAACTAAATAAAAACTCTGCAATCTGTCTTAGTGGACAATTGAGAAAATCATGAAGATCTAAGTACTAATTAACTGACTCTTCCCAAATCATTCATTCTCCTTGCAAGTCTTGACTGTTTCCTTCTAGGATGCAGAGTTTGTTTTTGTTTATCTTTCTATTATATTTTAAAGATTTTTTAAATTCAGTGCTAACAACTCGTTTTAAATTAATTTTTTTTCTTTTTTTCTTTTTTTTTTTTTTGGCAGAACCAGGGATTGAACTCAGGCCCTTGGGCTTGCCAGGGAAGCGCTCATTCCACTGAGCCATCTCCCCGGCCCCTAACAACTCATTTTTTTAATTTTTACTTTATTTTATGTATTTAGTACAGGGTCTACAGGGTCTCACTACACAGATTGGACTCATAGTGATCCTCCTGTTTACAGCCTCCCAAGAGCTGGAATTACAGGTGCACACCACTACGCCCAGCCTCAGTCGCCCTCTCTGCCCTCCCCGGGGGAGAGGCCAGCACAGCAGGCCCTGGGATCGAACCTCCAGCCCCTGTGTCTGCCTAAGCAGGCGCTTTAATCTGCTGAGCTATCTAGCTGGTCCCTTGCTAACAACTCTTGGTGTACCATACAGAAGTGTCTGAAGTCACTTGTAATATATGTACTAGCCTATAAAGCACTTAATTGCAAAAAGCAGAAAGAAATGTTATGTAGCTTAAGCACATTGAAATAATTTTATGTTATATATGAAATAGATCTTTGGCTGGTAATAGGAAAGCAATTACTCTTTTACTCAGTAATGTTTATGGATTCACTATTACCTGCTACGTACTGCACTAGCCACTAGGCAGACAGTGTGCAGGAGAACTTTGCCACCCAAGACCAGAGCATAATGAGATAGGTGAACAATTACCAAAGCAACAACTTGAGTTTTTCAATTGAAACGAGACAGTAAACAAAAGAACTTTGTAATTTTAAGTGGGAATGAAAGTTTTCAAAGAATTTTCATATTAATTACATTCTATAAAATAAAATATTGATAAGCAGAAGCTTTTTAAGAATAAATGACAAAGGATCTATAAACTGCAGTACAGGGTTTCAGGATAAATCCTGAGGAGGTTTGATCGACCTTGTCACATACAAAAGCTACATTTCAATGAAGTACAAGAAATACTACCGGACTATTTTGGAATATTTTGCTGAGTTCACACACCTATAATATTCAAATGATGGAACTAAACAAGAAAAAGGGATAAAGATGAATGACCATTTTGTATCTGTGTATTCAAAATGGTTAGGATAGATATATAACTACATTCTCTTAATTCAAGGAATAGAGGGATTTGTTCTAATAGTGTTTATAAATAGGATACCATGTCTGCATCTTGTACAACAAATAACCACTAGGAAGACAGTATGCAATGTGTTAATTATTGGAACTGTCCTACCAATTTGATTTGAAACTGTCTCATTGCTATTTATTTCTCAATAAAATTATGGGGGAAAAAGTTACATTTCTTGTTAGATAGGT